CACAAAGTCCTGCGCCTGCCACGAAATCCGCACTTCAACATCGACAATTTCCTGCGCCTGCCACGAAATGTGCATTTCAAGGTCCACAAAGTAGCATTTCAAGGTCCACAAAGTACTGCACCTGCCACGAAACACGAAAAACAAAAAAAATCCCTAAAAAAATACAAAAAAAATCCTAGATTAAATCCGAGCCCTTACTCTTCAAGGCACACGTCATGCTGAAGAAAATCATAGTCTTGTAGAGCTCAGCCCAACGAATACATTCAGTTTGCTGCCCGGCTTCACAGTCTTTCACCTGTTTCTCATATGATCGTGCATCCTTTAGGCTTGAGGCCAAACAAGACAACAAGAGGGCGGAAACCAAGCCGACGGTCGAGTGGATGTTGAACTCATCGTCGATAATCTCATCCACTCTTGCTTTCCTGCTTCGAGCACTGTTGTCTACAGACCCATCCGAGGCCTCAGATACCGTCTCCCTTTCTTCTCCATCGTCCATTGCCATTTGTGTGTAGGTTTGTACTGACATGGCATCTACCAAACAAGCTTGAGCTCAAGAGCCACAACCAAACATTCATGTCCCATCTACATGGGTGTGACAGGAAGAAAACAGGAAAGACATGATTGCAGAACAGAGCAGAAAACATAAGATTATGCCAAACATCGGTCTGCAAGACTTGCAAAGGTGGAAAACATTGTGTTTCAAAGGGAAGGAGGTGCATTCGCGGCCTTTGAAGAATCTGTGAACATTGTAAGCTGGATGGCTGGTTCCAAGGACTGTGAAGGAACGCAACCCTCCAGAAGGTTGGAATGTGATTGCACACTTAGGCTGAGTTGGTGGTTGTTTGCCAAAGGCCTGGGAACCAAACTGTTCGTCAGGCAGGTTGGGGCACGAACAGAAACACTTTTGGTGTCTCTCTCTCTCTCTCTATCTCTCTCTCTGCATTGCGTGGATCAGCAGCTCCTTCAAATGCTCCCACTAAGAAAACCCTATCACATCCCCCTTACAAATAGAAGGTGACCCAGGTCCTGTGGATTCGAAACTTACATGTTGAACCTTATCACAATGGTGCTGTGATGACACCCTGTGATCAATGTCCCTCTGCAAAAGGCAATCCTTGCTGACATATCCATCAAAAATCCATTCCTTGGTGTTTCAACAAGGGGCGGGCCCAAGTGATGAAACAAACTTTTACATCGCCTTCAGCGTTGCCTCGTTTCAGCACGGTCTCCGCAGCTTTGCTGCTAAGTCCGAATCTGGAAAGACGAGATGGCGCATCTCAAGACTAGGGAACCACCTGTCAAAGAAAGAATACATATATCTACATATATGTGGGGCGTATATCAAGCTTGTACAGTTGAAATTAACAATAAGTTAACACATCTTAACAAACTCGGGGTTGTGGGTCCCATAGTGTTTGGAGAAAACTTATGGCACATTTAAGATTACAGGGATGTTTTAAACGAGCTCATCGGCTTGCTCTGTTGGGCCAGCTCTGCAAGGTGCCCAAGACTAACTGCCTTCATCCCACGCTCCTTCAATCGCTTCAAGAGCGTTTCCAAGCCAAGCAAGCACCACTCACGGAAGCCATGCTCCGGCATGTGGAGTATGATGATAGATCCATCCTGAGCATGCTCACCCAGAAACTTGCCAATGAAGTCGCCGTCCTGTATGACGGGACAACATGCATAGGTGTCACACATCACACTGGTCAATCCTTTGCGCTCGAGGATCTCTGACATCACCGGACTCAGTTTCCCATGAGGCGGACGGAACCACTGGACCTGTTCGGGCATGCCAGCTCGGCGCTGCAAGCTCGTGATGCGCTTGGAGCACTCATCGATCGCAGCTTCAAACTCCCTCTAGTGGAGCCCTTGACCCGTCTTTGGGACAAGCCTTCGCTTTCCCCTCCCTGTTGCAACTGCGAATGCGCATTGAAGTCCCCGGGTGGAGAGATCTGGCAACAGCCAGAAATCCCGCAGCTGATCTGCCAGCAGAAGAAGACTCTGCCTCAGACGACACCGGGTCAGCAGAACGGTCGCCACGACTTGCTCTCCCAGTGCCGGTGGGAATGGCAGAAACGCAGGCAGACGAAGCAGATGAAGCCACAGAGGACGAGGCCATGAATGCTGAACCCAGCTATGCCTTTGCCAAGGGGTATGGAAGTTTTGGCATAGGCTACACTAGACTAGCAACGGCGCTAGGCAATTTCGAGCAAGGGGACATCGGCGCAGAAAGCGCAGTGGTAGCACAATGGCTGACCTCCGGGCTCAGAATTGCCATGTCCCGCATAGGGTGGAATCTGATATCTACCCGTTTCAGCTTGACTAAGGTCCCTAGTCCTGTCCTCAGTGGGTACTACTGCAAAGGATATCCTCTCACTCCGAAGATGGCAGATCGTCCTTACAACCAATATGGCACGATCCACTACTCCGAAGATAAATGGGATCAGCTCTGCGGGTGGCTCACTGGGAACCCCACGTTCAGGCTCCAACTCGCGAGCCATAAGCAGGCACTTAGGGATCACATGGGCTACAGTCAGGAAACCGCCGATCCAAGTAACAAAGCCCGCCGCACTGACCCCCCTAAGGAAGCGGGAAGTTCCTCAACTGCAGCAGGGTCCTCCTGGCACAGCAAGCCTCCCCCCCGCCTTCGCCCTCAGGGTGGTCCTACGGGTGGTGGCAGTAGTGTAGTCCTCATCAGGAGTCTCCCCACACAACAACAGCCTCCGTGTCGCGCAACCCCCGTCATGAGATGGGTGACCTTAGTCACCTTCTCTATTGGGGCTTAGTTGCCACTATGGCCTTGCAAAGGACACACCTCCTGTACCACAGTTGTTTGGCTCAAGCAAACCAAGCACCTACATAGCAATGCCGCCCCCCCAAGATCGCTGGGAGGTTAACCTCGAGTTGGTTACCGTAGCTGGCACGGAATACACGATGCAAGCAAACCTCTCCCACTATGAGGATATAGCAGAGCTTGAAGATGACATCCTCTGCTTTCTGCCGACAGTGTCTGAGCTAGATGTCTTTGGCTGTGAATTAGAGTTGCTCGACCTCCAAACGCAGCAACCCCTGCCCGAGGCATTCCGCACTGAGCTCTTGCATCGACCGCAGCTCCAAATTGTTGTTCGTCCCTGCATGGTAGATGGGCATTCCATCTGGCAGTTCCAGGATGACGGCAAGGAGAGCTACCCCAAAGCTGTTCGTGTCCCGGCCAACCCGAGAGGGGAAATTGCAGACAGAGCTTTCTATGCGGCACCTTCAATCCGACACGTAGAAGTGGCAACTGGCATCCAACATATAGGAATTGCGGCCTGGCAGAGTTGCCAGCAATTACAGATTGTCAAGCTTCCAGCTTCGGTCGTCAGTCTGGCGGAAGGGACTTTCATGGGGTGCTATGTGCTGCGTCAGGTCGCTGCACCAGGGTGCGTCCACTACGGACAAAGGGTGTTTGCTGAGTGCTGTTCCCTAGGCAGCGTTGGGGTCAAGCGCGAAACAGAGGACAGCTGCGTCCTGGCACCAGGCGCGCAGCTTGGCAGATATGCTTTCGAGAGTTGCCTCACGCTTGCAACTATCACCTTTGACATGGATTGTACGAATAAACCACGAGCACTGCCTGAAGGCGCATTCTGTGGAGCAGGCATTGAGCAGCTGTGCTTGCCGAATGACTTTCACAACATCGGGCCGAGGGCCTGTGAAAATTGCAAAAGTCTAGTGGAAGTCAACCTCATGAGCACAGAGATCACAGCCCTGCTCTCTTCCACCTTTGCCCACTGTGTAGCGTTGCAGTGCATATGGCTTCCACCGCGCCTCATACAAATTGGAAAAGAAGCCTTCCTTAATTGTGTTGTGCTGCAGGAAGTTGTCATCCCGACAGAACTCAGTGACATCGGCAACCGTGCCTTCTGCGGGTGCGAGCAGCTGCAACGGTTTACCCTCCTAGATTGGGGAGATGTTGAACAGTGGGTGCAGGCAGAGCGCAATGCTTTTTTTATGTGCGACAAATTTGAAAAACCTCATTGGCTGGAACTGCTCCCCGCGGAAGGACCAGATTCTGATGCCTTTGACGAGGAACTCAGCCACGAATATTGCCAATATCATGCCAGTCCATGGTAGACTCTACGGAGCTACATTGCCATGAATATTGCCAAGCCAACCGCTCTGACAAGGAGCTAAACCATGTGTACCCTTAGCATTATGCCAGGCCATGAGAGGCTCAAGGTAGGTGCCTTAGCATCTGTCTTAAGGAAACATCACCGGCCGTAGGAACAGCCCATGTGCAGACTGGACACCGGTGGCTCGCACAATGATAGCAAATAGCCTGCCGCAAAACGAGCGTGACAGTTCATCCATGAGTAGCACTCCCATTGAAAAGGAGCCAGTCATGGAATGCCCCCTGCTGCTGACTACGCTTTCGGGGGTAACCTTTAAGGTCTCTCTCAGTGTCGCCAAGTTCGACCGATTTACAGATTTAGAAGACCAGGTTATGGATTATCTGGCTTCGGTCACTGACCTCCAAGTTTTTGGGTGCGTCATTGACTTTTTGCACACCACCACGCAAACCTACCTAGAGGACCCAATCTGGGATAAGTTGCAGCAAGGTAGAGAATACACCATGATCTTCAGGGACTGTCGTGTTACCCTACCAGAACAAGAACAGCTCGGTGGTTATCCTATTGATCAAGTCCCCTTAGCTGTTCATGTCCCAATGAACTCAGAAGAAACTGTCCCAGAATGGGCCTTTGCAGGTGTGCCACGCTTGCGACACGTTAGCGTCGAGTCAGGGATCAGGCACATTGGTGCAGAGGCGTGGCAAGATTGCCGGCAACTCCGCATTGTCAAACTGCCGGCCACAGTGGTAGGCATTGCAGATAATGCCTTTCGGGACTGCAAGCTCCTAAATAGTGTCATGGCTCCGGGTTGTCGCGACTTTGGTTACAAAGCCTTTTCGGAATGTTGTTCCTTGCAGCGTGTGTATGCATCGGGTGGAGCTGTAAACGTGTTCAATGGGGAAACCAATTTCGGGCAATACCTCTTCCAAGGGTGCATCAACCTTGCAGAGGTCACCGTGAGTGAGTTTCCATCCCCCCGATCTGAATTGAACGGGTTAACCCTGCAAGACAGGACCAGCGAGCTAGCTCCGGGCTGCCTCAGCTCTACAGGCATCTACACACTTGCTCTCCCAAAGCACTTTGTAGCCATAGGAGCGCACGCTTGTGACAGTTGTCGACTGCTTAAGAGTGTTGACCTCTGTAACACCATGATTGAAGAAATTCCGGAATTCACTTTTAGCCACTGCACTAGCCTTCGGGAAGTCTTCCTACCGACAACTCTCCATACAATCCGAGTTAAAGCCTTTATGAGCTGTGCCGCCCTTGTTGAGCTTGCCATTCCGCCTGCTCTCAAGTACATTGGAAGTAGGGCTTTCTTGGACTGCACTGCCCTACGGAGGCTGGTCAGAATGCCCGGAACACGCAGATGGCGAGGGGTTTATGCTGAAGAAAATGCTTTTGCCATCTGTCCGGCCATGAAATGGCCACCCTGGCTGCATATGATCCCAGACATGGGCTACACCCCTGGTTTAGGATAGAGGATCATCCCTCCATCCACAGCTGCCGTGGCCCTGCTATCAATTTTGTTAGAGTCTGGGTGCGAGCCTTAGCTCGGGTCCGGAGTAGGCCAGCAATTGCGAAACAGTACTCCCCAACACGAGTAACTAACCATAGTTGCCCTCCATTATGCATGGAGTAAGTGCCCAGAGGCAGTCGGATAGAGAAGGGTCTCGGCCTGGCGGTGATGTCGACAACTGCAAATCGTCCACCTGCCAGACACAGTAGTCGGTCATTGGTGTAGGTGTCAAATGCTACGGGTTGTGGTCGCCCCAAGATGCAAGTTTTTCGGCACCATAGCACTCGATGACCTATAACGCAAACGTCCTTTGGCGAGAGAACTATCTAGACCCAGCCTCAACGAAGCTATGCCTCAGAGGCAGGAGAGAAGCAAGTGCGACGTGAGCAGTGAGTTGAGCCAAGTGCCAGTTTTCGAGAACTAGAAAAGGAGGATTTCCAGGCATATACGGCAAGCAAAATGCACAGACACCAAGTAGAACCATGACCTCTTCTCGCCATCCGCTGCGAAGTGAGCCGATAGGAGCGAGAACCTTAGTTCTGCGTTCCTACACGGCGGGTGGTAGATAGTGGCAATGAAGGATGACCAGGGGGAACCTTAGTTCCCGCTGTTGATGTCCGACATTTCCAATTTTGTACAAAGAGGTACAGATATCATGCTAGGAGAGCTCAATGTTTCACAGGTTTCACACGGGCCTTGCACGCACCTCTCACTTTTTGCCATTACACAGCGCCTCACAGACTCAAGTGACATCCCCTTTTGGCACCTTTGAGTGCTGAAAGGTGTTGGGTCTGCCTCCCCTCGGGGGGGTGGTGCCCGGTTCACCCTTAGCTGCAGGTTTCTCTCGCTAGGAATTGCCGCCGCATTTGTATTCTGTCTGGCAGCATGCGACTGGCCTTGTAGGCGCCACCGGTTGAACGGGTTGTGCTGCAAGTATGGTCTTTTCCACGGATTGCTGCTTAGCTCTTCGCACATTCGGTTGGCCTGATTACAACCACTGCTGGAGCATTGCGAGACACCTGACCTGCAAAGTGACCTTGCTTTGCCACACTGTGGTGTGGCCGCTGGTCACCAGCACTTGGTAAGGAAAGTCCGTTTGAAGCCTCCTAGGCGGCTTTCCATGAACACAGCTTGCGCTGCAGTCCTCTTCTTTTGCGAATTCAGGCCCACTAATTGCCACTAGTTCAGTTTCACACGTTTCACCTAGTGTAGAGGGAAGACTACAAGATGGTGGAGTTTCGGCCTGCGGGCTCGGGTTTTTGGTTTTGGGTTGGTTTTGGGGCCTTTGTTCCTTTCTCCACCATCTGTCTTTTCTTCCCTTCCTTCAACGATGACCTGGGCACCATGCCCACACGGCGTCCGTACTCGTGGAAAAAATGCTTCATCCTCATAATGGGAGAGGTCTGCCTGCATTGCATATACCGTACCTGCTATGGTAACCAACTCGAGGTTGATCTCATAACGGTCTTGGTGAGTCGGC